GCGCAACACTGAACTCATACATCATCAGCCCGGAGCTGCTTCCGTGTAGGACTGTTGGCGCAAGCTACATTAAAGTGATTATTACGTTTTGAATATGGATATTTTTCTTACAAAAACGCATCGATTCGCTACAGAAGGCCTTTGTTCACCCCCCGGAGCCGTGTGAGACACTTTTTTTATTTTTATGGATGGGCACATTTTAATTAACTGCTTTTGGACGGATGCATGCAACACCTGCTGAGTGCCATTAAACAGCTTGAAAGATCAAAGACAATTTTTTATAAAACTTTGACTGGATTCGTCTGAAAGAAGAAAGTCATATGCACCTAGGATGCCTTGAGGGTGAGTAATTTAAGGACTAATTTTCATTTTTGGGTGAACTAACCCTTTAACCATTTTGAATCAGTCAGATGAGTCCTTCACTAACTGAACTTAAAATGAACACTGAATCAGTTAGATTCACTGTTCACTTTTAGTAAAATCCATTACTTTTAGTAAAATATATCTCAATGTAAAGCAAGTAGTGTACTTAAAGTTTGTGAAACACATTTGCCTATATATTAATATATTTAAATATTTGTATTTATCATGATATAATTATTTAACGTAAATATTAATATATTTGTATTTTTCAAATGAATATATTGATATATATTTAAAATGTGTGTCTGTGAGAGGATGTCTTACCTACTCCCCTCTCTCCATAGCCAAGATGAGGTGGAATGACTAGCCTGCGCTTCTCTCCGACACACATTCCTATAAGCCCTTGTTCCATGCCTATGACCACCTGTCCAGCCCCCAGAACCACATCGTATGTCTTACCAAAGGTTTGCCTGCAGATACACACAGACACAGTGGAAAACACAAATTAGTTAGAAACAATTTTTACAATATAAACCATTCATTTTGATTCCCATTTCTTAGCAATAACATAATCAAATATTTGTAATGTTAAGTTAGACAACATGCCAAAACAACATGATACACAAATGTATAATTGCAACGCACGTGGAGCCGATGTAAGTGCCATCCATGAGAGTGGCATTGTAGTGGTATTTGACAAAGTCACCACGTTTTGCATTGTAGATGCATTTCTCTGGCTTCACACTGGTGATCTCAACTATATCAGATGGGTTATGGAAATCAATAATGTGGACATCAAACACCAGCACAGCTGAGCCAGGGATCTTAGTTCCTGTATGAGGAGATAGAAGAGATTAATACAAAGATAAGTTAACCTCGTGTTCTTTTGAAATAAAAGGACTGATCAGCACACACCTGTGCCCTCTTCTCCATATGCCAGGTGAGGTGGGATAACAATCCTCCTGCGCTCTCCAACACACACACCCAGGAGTCCTTGGTCCATTCCTGCGATCACATAGCCTTTACCGATGTAAGTGTCATATGTGCGATTCCTTGAGTAACTGAAACATAAACACAAATGTAAGCATAAGTGCACTGTATATCACTTAAAAAAAAAAATAATGTTCAAATCAAGGGTTTTTACCTGGAGTCAAAGAATGTGCCATCCAACAGGGATCCATTATAATGGTAACGCATGAAGTCTCCTACTTCACTCTTGCGTGGACAGTGATCTGGAAGGCTTTGCACTTCTACTGTGATTTCATCTTTGGGGTTATGAAGGTCCAGCAGAATCACATCAAACACCAGAGAGGCTTGACCGGGGATGTCACTTCCTGTGAGTGGAGATAACTGGATGTTGTAATGCTTATTTTGCATGCACTGTTAGTATATATTACTAATAAAATGACTCTCACCATCCCCATTCTCTCCATAGCCAAGGAAAGGTGGCATGGTGACGATGCGTTTTTCTCCTACACACATTCCCAAAAGCCCCTGGTCCATTCCCGCAATGAGCCAGCCAATCCCCACGTAAGTGTCATAGGTGCGCAAACGCGTGTGACTGCAAATGAAAGAATCAGAATTACTAATCGGGAAATGCATAAAATTCAGAAATACGTTCACTTTTAATTCTCTAAAAAAAAAAAAATTATAAATATGTGTCAAATATTTTTTGAAAAAGGTTTTGTTTCTAACTTATATTATTATTTTTATACTCAGCATATTACTGTTAGATGTATTATGTATTTGAATCTATTTTTTTATTTATTAATTGTAATCAATTTTTTTATTCTATTGTAATCCTATTTTGTTTTATTTATTTAATAGTTTTTTTTTTAAATAAACAAATAAACCTCTGTTACAGGCTGTCATTAGTGATAGGGATTTTTTGTGGCTCTTCCTGGATGTTACATGGTTACACCAGTAGGTGGCGACATGTGAAAGTCTATCTGAGTCATTTGACGACTTCATTCAAAGGACTTGTTCAAAAAAGGCTGATTAATATAACTTCAAATGAATGAGTAATTAAATCATTGGGCTAACTGATTTGTTCATAAACATCCGATCATTCCCTCGCTGTTGTAACACGGCAGCTGTGGAACTATTGTTGTTGGCATAGAAAAAAAAAAGTTTAATAAAAGTTATTCAATATAAAATGTGAGTTACAAAAAATATCTATCCATCTATTTTTGAGGTCCACATGACTCATCTCACCTGGAGTCGAACAGCGTGCCATTGAGCAGAGTACCATTGTAGTGGTAACGGACATAATCAGACACTTGTACAGTGCGGACACAGCTCTCTGGCTTGTGGTAGGTCTTTATCTGCACTTTGTCCTCTGTGTTCCAAATGTCCAACATCAACACATCAAAGTGAAGGATGGAATCTGGGGGGATGATATCACCTGACAAGGAATGACATAAAAATACTGTGAGAAATAAAACCCAAACCAGCTTGGCAGCTTTGAAATCTGCCCACTGAAGCCTGATTAAAACCAGCTACTCTAAAGAAGGACAATAAATGCTTTAGTCTTTGTGTTTACTATAAGGGCTGCATTATTAGTTGTTGTTTGCGCACTACAACTACAACTCACTACAATAAAACTGTGCAAGGGGAATTTTGCCACACTGTGTATTTTGTATTTCACTGAAAGAGCTGATCATGAGATTAATGTGTCTGAGATTACTTATAATGTAAGTCTGTTGTATGTATGTGCAGTTAAACTATACACATCTGTTTGTGTCTCCTCCAGCTGAATTGGGCAGACACACACTTCACAACTAGTTCTGACAAGTGGACATGGCTCAACATTCTTCTTCCGATCACTCCCATTGGGAGTTCACACCCCCATCTGTTCATCTCCCCCCTCCTCCCTCTCCAAATGGAGATGTCATGCTCCTCTGACTCAGCAGGAGTTCAGAAGGATAATGGGCATTGTAGGTCTCAGTGAGTTTCACGCATTAGCATGCTACCTAGTGGTATGTGCCTATTTAATTGTAAATGTGCTGATGGCACCTACATTGATAGACATTCATGCATGAAGTGGTAAACAGAGAGCTGTGTTTTTAAAAGTGTGTTTACCATAACCGTCCTTTCCGTAGGCAAGCTGTGGAGGGATTTTGATCATCCATCGTTCATTAACACACATGTCCACTAAAGCTTTGTCCATTCCAGCGATCAACTGCTTCCGACCAACAAACACATTATAGGTGGTGCCACGGTCATAACTGCAAACACACAAATCAACAAACATTTAAACTGCAAAAATAATTTTCTTAATTTTTTTTGTCAGTAAAAACATCCTTAAAATCAGATTTTTTTGAGAAGCAACGTTTTGTAAGATATTAAGAGCTTTTAGAAAATATATTTTTTAATCATTTGGCAAATAATTAAATCATTTTCTTACATTAAACGTTTATCAAAATCGAGTGACCTTAAAACAGTATTTTTAATTTAACTATTTGCCAATAGAACAATAAACTTAATTTAAGATATATTCTCTAATATTATCTCACACAGTTTTGCTTCTCATGTAAATGTGTCTTTAAAAAAAAGATTTCTTCATAAGAAATTAAATTCAATTAAAATTAAAAGAGGTTAGTGCAATAATAATTTTACGCAATAATACATTTGCAAAAAATAATGCAATAATTTCACATTTTACTTAAATCAATTAAATCTAGGGCTGCCACTAACGACTATTTTTATTTAGATTAAAATTATAATCAAAAAACACTTTTTAAATGAGTATTTACCAGAAATATTATTTACCAGAATTTATTTAGGAGAAAAATTTAAATGTGCAGTATTTCTGGAAAAAAAAAAAACCTTTTTTTTTTTTTTTTAATAAAATCAATTAATTGGAGATGCTTTTGATTATTCAAATTTAATGGATCCATTAAAATGGAATCCAGAAAATAATGGTCACTTTATATGGAGAATACGCAGGAAACGGCTCCGTTTTGCAGGGAAAATGCGGAAATGCAGGCCTGGAGGCTGGAATGCTTTCTACGTGGCACAGAGAGGGGCGGCTCGCGCTTTATGATGGGGGTTTATGAGCATGTAATTATAGAGGGCTCGCCGAGCAGTGCAACAGGCCTTTTTTAACTTTATATTTATTAGATCAGATCATCATATGTCTCCTTATTATAGTAAAGTACGTTTTGATAAATGCATATATTATATTATATATTATTACTAATTCTTCTTACACCCAAATGCATCCATTCATTTTAGTTTCCTTTGAATTAATAAAACAAATTAGTTTGCAATCTATACTTTTGTAATGTGAATAATGTTAGAATAGTTTAAATTACATGATATATGCACAGCAGATATTGTAATTATCTATATAATGGCATATTTTACATGCTTTCTTGTATAGAGTTTGGACACAAATATCTTAGAGGGACAAACTGGAATTAAACTGTTCTGGTTTATGGTATCTGGTTTAAACTATTTACAGCAGCCATGTAAAATGTTCGCAAATCAAGGCAGAATGAACTTTCATAGTTGTATAGGCCTATGTGTCTTTTTGGACCCTTCAAACTTAAAAGTGAATGTTACTGGTGGGATTTGACGAATAAACATATTTTTTTTAGTAAATCACTGTAATGTTTTTTTTTTTAGCTGCATGGGGGAAGGGTGCGTTCTGACGGACTTTGGGGACGTGGAGAGACTGTGGGGCGGGCGGGTTTTGTTCTCTCACACTCCTGCGTACTTTGGGATTCCCATACGGGACCATGGCCTCCTCATCGCACTGCCTCAGGTTTGCATTTCTTTTATTCTGTTTTACTTTTTGCGTCCTTGCGCAGTATGAGAAATACAACTTTCGTAGTTTCCCACGGCACGAGCTTATGCCCCTGGACTCGGCGTACCGACACGCTTTAGACCAGTACAGTGAGAAAAAGTGGTCCGAGAGCGTGGAGTTTCTGGAGATGAGTCTCCGGCTGTACCGGCTGCTCAGGGACAGCGAGGCCTTCTGTAACCTCAACTGCAGCACGGTGCGTCTCGATGACGAGACGCGCTTTAGCGACTTCCCCGAGCTGCACGCTTTCGGTAATGTGATGAAGCGAGCTCAGTGTCTGAAGCGATGCAAGCAGGGCTTACCTGCCTTCAGACAGACGCTTCCCAGCCGTGAAACCATCGAGGAGTTTGAGAAACGGGAGCCCTACAAGTACCTGCAGTTTGCTTACTTCAAAGTGAGTCCACTACTAAACATTAACTTTCACTCATTGCCTCTACAATTATTTATAAAGCAAGTTTAAGGGTAAATGAATGTTGTGCAATACTGTAACATGGTAATAGATTAATAGGACTTCAGATGGTTCACAGTGAAAAACATGGTAAGTACGATGGTTGATTTTTTGTTGTGTAGATTGTATTAGATGGTAATATGGTACTGAACCATGTACCCATATATCAAAATACATGGCATTTCAAAGTACATAATGTGCAATGAAATGTGCAAGTACATGTGGAAAATGCTTCATGGTATTGCCACAATACCATGTCAAAAACATTAAATTTACATTGCATTTTAATACTTTTTGAAATGTAGACGGTATAACATAGTAATAATACCATGGTACTGAATGTTTACCTTATTCATGTACCATGGTCAGGGCTCTACGCTTATTTTTCTTTTTAGGAGCGCTTGTGCTCCTAACTTAAAAAAATGTAGGAGCACAGTCAAAAATTTAGGAGCACCAAAATTTGATCAAAAAATAGCCTTCCCATTACGAGGTGATATTTGACTCCTTAAAGTGATTTACAGTAGAATTTTGTTTTTACCTTTGTAATGGCATTTTTAGTTTTTAATGCATATCCAGGCATTCACAAGGGATATAGCATATATTGTTGAATACTGTGTGTTCATGTTTCTTCTACAAAATAGTTACAATTGTTAGTAAGCTGTTTAAAAGCTTATTTTTACTTGTCTTGTGGCTGACAAGTTTAATGCATTGTCGTGCTACCATTTCTTCGGTGAACAATAAAAAAACGTTTGTGCATTGAAATGTTGTTCTTTTTTCCAATTTATTTGAAACAATGTTTAATACAATAAATCATACTTATGGGGCTTTTATTTTGAAGTGTATCACCACAGGCGGGAATTGGAAAGGGAAATGGGTGTAGTCGCAAATCTGTTTTGCATCTAATGAATACAAGTTTTTACTAGTAAGAATACAATTATAGAGCTCTGTAACTAGATTTCTTACTAGTAAGAATTGAATTAGAGAGCTCTGTAATTACATTTTTACTAGTAAGAACTGAATTAGAGAGCTCTGTAATTGTAATTCTTACTAGTAATAATTTAATTGTAGAGCTCTAATTTAATTCTTACTAGTAAGAATGCAATTGCAGAGCTCTCTAATTGAATTAGAGAGCTCTCTTATTGTATTTATAACTAGTTAAAATAGATTTAGAGAGCTCTCTAACTGGCATTGTTACTAGTAAGAATTTAATTGTAGAGCTCTCTAATTGAATTGTTACTAGTAAAAATGCAATTACGACGAGTAACGCTGGGGATATTTTAAGCTAAAACGGCTTGCCATACACCCTGTCTGCACTTTGCTTATGAAAGGATTCATGAGATATGTCTGTGATACATTACTCAATGCTGCAAAAACACATAGAAACCTTTGAAGCTCCCCTCAGCGATCACAATCACAAGTATGATGATGATCTGGTCAGTCGCACTGGTGCTACTAAATATGTTTTCATAGTCGCACGCAGTAGTTTTCAGTCGCAAATGCGACTGAAATGGTCGCACTGTAGAGCCCTGACCATGGTACATTTTAAAGTGCATGCACTGCATGGTATTCTAAAGAAGGCCTACTTCAGAGAATAACATACTAAAAATCAGCGGTTTTACCATTGTAGTACCATGATTTGTTTGAAAATTTTATGTGTAGAGTTTTGGTTTGGAAATATCTGACAAAATTGATTATTATGAATTATTACAGAGTGATCATTTGGCCAAAGCTGTATCTGCAGCGTACACATTTCTTCTGAAGCATCCTGATGATGAGATGATGCAGAGGAACATGAACTACTACAAGAGTTTACCTGGAGCTGATGAACATATGAAAGACCTGGAGACCAAGTCATATGAGGTGAGACCCCACACACTAAACACTGAATAAGAGGAAATCAAATCCTCATTTTAATCCTCTTGTTAATGCAGCTTGAGAGCTGCTGCCATTAAAGCAGATGGGGGTCAAACTAAATACTAAGAAATCCTGAAATTCATGTTAGTTTTCAAATGACATTTTTCTTTCAGATATGCTGATAATATTACTTACAATGACAAATGTTTATTAAATTATATGCAGAAATACACATAACGGTAAGTTTGGGGACAGTGTGATTAATTAATACTTTTATTCAGCAAGGATGCATTAAATTGATCAAAATACATTTATAGTTGTACAACATATTTCTGTTTCAAATAAATGCTGTTCTTTTGAACTATTCTTCGTCAAAGAATCTTGAGAAAAAAATATTATGCAGTACAACTGTTTTCAACACTGATTATAATCAGAAATATTTCTTGACCACCAAATCAACATACTGTATAAGAATGATTTCTGAAGGATGTGATACTGAAGCTTTGTCATCACAGAAATAAATGACATTTTAAAATATATTAAATTACAAACAGGTATTTTACATTTTAAAAATTTCACAATATTACTTATTTACTGTAATTTTGATCAGATGAATGCAGCCTTGGCGAGCAAAAGAGACTTCTTTTTAAAAACATACAAAATCTCAAGACTCCAAATTTTTAAAAGGTAGTGCATATATAATATGAATCTATAATAATATATGTTTACATTTATGCAATGCAAGCTCAGGTAACATATGCAACTGTAATACGTCTGTTGAATGTAATAAACAGTGTTGTAGTTTACAGTTACATATGCTTAATGTGGGTTTGTCTTATTCAGACATTGTTCATTCGGGCCGTGCGGGCGTACAATGGCGATAACTTCAGAACCTCAGTGTCAGATATGGAGTTGGCACTGAGAGACGTTTTCAAGGTGTATGATGAGTGCATCGCTGCATCAGAGGGATCCAGACAGATCAAAGACTTCAAAGACTTTTACCCGTCCATTGCAGGTTGGCATATACCTGCTGCTCTTGTCATGTCTGCCCTTGAGACCCTTTGTAACTTTAGCTGAAACATAACAACATGTTTGTTTCTCTGTCTTTAGATCATTACGCAGAGGTTCTGGAGAGGAAGGTTCACTGTGAGAGCGAGCTCACGCCGGTTGTAGGTGGATTTGTTGTTGAGAAATTTGTGGCAACCATGTACCACTACCTCCAGTTTGCTTATTATAAATGTAAGTCAAGAAAGTTCTCTGTTTAAACTACTTATGTGAACCATGAATGTGAAAAACTGACATATGAAACATACACTTCCATTCAAATTTTTCTCAAAAGTTTCTCTCCTTCATTCTCATTCAGTGAATGATCTGAAGAACGCTGTACCGTGTGTGGCCAGCTACATGCTCTTTGATCCCAGTGATGAGGTGATGAAGAATAATGTGGATTATTATCGGTACCATAGAGAAAAATTTGGCCTCACTGATGAGGATTTCTTCCCTAGAGCGGTAGGTGTCTCACATCATGGTAAATATTGAATAAACACATTTATTTTCTTTTAGATGTTCGATGTTGTACTCATAATGCATTCTCACATGACAGGAAGCAGTACGGTACTACAATCAAACGACGCTACAGCTGCAGATGCTAGAATCTGCCAAACAGAAGTTTCTGCCAGATGATGAGGTGAGAGCTGAGAGTTGGTGCGTGGGTTATTTGAATGCTTGTTGAATATTCACAAACATGTAGCTGTTTTACAACTATTCGGAGTAGTGCTGAGTGCTGACCGCTTGTTTGGCCACTTGGGTGAGCACTATGCTTACTGATTCACTCTGAGCCGTTTACTGCTTCACACCGCCCTCTAGTGGCTGATAAATGGAAGTTTCTATATGATTATTTAATTACAGTGCTGTGCTATTTTTGTATCGAGATTTTTTTTTTTTTTGCAAGATTTTTTCAAGTTAAACTAAATAAAAAATTAGACATTTTGCTTTAGCAACTAGCTGAAATAAAATAAGTTTAATCTTTTAAAAGACTTTTTAAAAGATTTATCAACATTTATTTTTTTTATTTATTAACAATTTATGGTTTTAGTTTTAGTTAACTATAATAACCCCGATGCCATGATTGCAGAATAAGAAGCAGATTAAATTAAAATAAAACTCCATTCGCTCTAACTCTTCCTCCAACTATTTTCTCTTTCAGGGTGAAGTCTTAGAGTTTCTTGATGAATATCTTAATGCTGAGGATGAATAAACGATTTTATTTGCACTGAAATAAAAACATTGTGAAAAAGACCATGAAGGTATTCTCATTCCTCTACAATTTTTGTTCTTGTATTTATTTAGGGGTTGGTGATTGGAAGTGTTGATATCTTTTTACTGTACACATCTGTACTATAATATGTACTTATATTTACACATGTAAATACAGGTTTTACACATGCACCACAAGCCAAAATATTATAAATCTGAATCCCTGTCAACTTACTGTATCTTAGAGAAAACAATGTGTGTTTTTGTTTTATTAAAGGTTGCTTTTCTACATTAAATAAAATCCAAATAGCAATCCAGAAGGGATACCATGATGATATCCAGGTAGACTTGAGCTGCAATAACTGGTTAAACACTGAAAATGTATTTTTTGGCTGATTGTTATAGATGCAGATGCTATCGTAATAAATAATGTGGATGAAAACTCGCCACTTTTGTGCTGTGAAATACTGGTTGATTTATCAGTCATTTTCTACATCTGTGTTGTTTTAATTCATATTTTGTTACTTAAAGTGTTACACTGTCTTTGTACAATCCTCCTTCTGGTGGAGAATTTGTGTTTTGGGCATTTCAGAAGAACTGACTTACTTTAAGATCTTGAGCTTAGCAATTTTTTGGTTATGCCAAGCCTCACATAATCTGTGTGGACCAAATGTTAGTACTAATATGTTGTTGATAACTTCACAAATGTTCACTTGGCTATTATTCAAAATATGTGTAAAATGGTGCTGCATAGAAGAAATCAAACAAACTTGTCTATTTTCAAAGGCTGAACCAGAATTTCCTGCCCCTAAAAGCAGTAAACCTTCAGACTAAATATAATAGCAAAAGACTAAACACTGGACCTTAAGCAAAACACTTGAAGTTTAAGAGTGCATGTGGACGGTCATTTTTTAATCCAAACTCCCTCCACATCTCTCGTTCCTCATCCCCCACTCCTTTCCTTTTCTCTGTGGGTTTTTCCTACTATGGTGTGATAAACTGCACAGATACTCCATGTTCAAACACATTTAAATAAGCCTCTGTTCTCTTGCTGTGTGAGTATTTGTATGCAGGAGTGTTTCTGAGTGTTTTTGTTTTTGTGGTAAAAACGATAGTATAGACACAGAAACCATGTCCCTCTTTTGTGATATCAGGCTTGGCCCTGCTGCTCTTACACACAAACACCTGGCAACACTACGCAAATGTTTGCAGTCTTATTTTAGGAAGGAAATGTTTTTTTAAGCCTATTTAAGCTCTCACAGCAATGTTGACACCAAGGAAGACTAAAGCGGATATTTTCCCCCCAAAGTAATTTATTCGTTCATTAGTATTCCACAGCTATGTTTAGTCAGATACCCTCATGTCACATCTAACCGACATTGTTACAGTGTAATGTTGATATTACCAAATAGTTTTAGCTTCAAATGGAATTGAAATGAACAAAGAGCATGAAATCTCACAGTTCCTTATCACAATAAAAACACTTTACAGTTCAGAATATAACCATCAAAAGAGATCAGAGCAAATAAAATAGTTCCAATGGCCAATGGTTTACCCCACAAATAGTAAATGAGCAATTTTATGGTAAGCAGTTCATGTGCTTAGCAATGTAGATTTAAATATATCTACAGCAGCCAACTGGAAATTATTTCCTGATCTAAAAGTTTGCTTTTTTTTTACATTCTTTGCATTAAGACTGGAAAATAGCTTTTTTTGTAAGTAAATGCAAGTGTTTTTGGCTCTTGTATGATAAATCACTTGTGATGTTCATCATTTGTAAGTATCTTTGGATAAAAGCGTCCACTAAATGGCTAATGTAAATAAGACCGTACTAGCTTCTCTACTAAACAGAGATGTCAGGGCTGGAAAACATATTAAAATACAAGAGCAACAACCAACAACCAAAAATACCCAAACAGTCAGATAATGTTAATACTGTCAGCCGATCATTAATGGATACTTACAAATGACCCTGCAAAATTCATGAAGTTTTACTCCACTTTTCTTCATTTATAACTAAATCAAACAATGTAAAAAATGCTACATTTGCTCTAACAACACCTAGAAATAAATCGCTTTACTACACTTCATTACCTATTATTAATATTATCTAAAAATAGCACACTACACTCTAAAAAATGCTGGGTTGTTTCAACCCAACTTTGGGTCAAATATGGACTAACCCAACTTTTGGGTTAAAAATGTAATGTAAAAATTTAACCCAACAGTTGGGTTACTCCATATTTGACCCAAAGTTGGGTTGAAACAACCCAGCATTT